TGAGACCAAATCCCAAGTGTGATTTGCCTCTAAAGCTGCAATTTCCTCATTCATAGGTATATGCCAGCATTGTAGGTTAGATGTATGAGAATAAGAAGATGGCTCATAAAACAATTGATTAATAATAGTTGCAGGAGAGCAAATATGGTATGGGCTGACCACTGGTAAGTTAAGACGATCATGTGGAATAATATTTCAAAGTGACTATCGAAGGTGAATAGGATTGGTAGAAGGATCAACAACTAGAGGTGATGCATGATCATCACTTGACAAAGACGGCTCATCAGAGTTAGTTACTGAATGTGATAATCCCTGATTTTCATGATAATAAGAATGAGGAATATTAAAACTAGGAAAAAAGGAAAACTTAGATCCATGTGTGGTTGAATTATAGTGTGGGCAGTGTTGGTGGAAAGGTATGTACTCGAAAAATGTAACGTGTCGGGATATTCTAATATGATTAATAGAATGATCAAAACAACGATATTCTTTTTGATTTGTTGGGTAACCTGCAAACATGTATTTGACAGACTTAGGTGAGAATTTATCACGGTTAGAAGGTGGTAAAAGCACAAAGCATATGCATGTGAATACACGTAAATGTGCGTAATCAGGGGTTTTTTGAAAAAGCTTTTGAAATGACGACATATTTTTCAAAATCGTTGTAGGAAGAAGATTAACAAGATAGACAGCAGTAGACATTGCTTCAGCCCAAATGTTCTTTCGGGAACGAGAGCTGATAAGAAGAGAACGAGTGGTTTCAAGAATATGATGATGTTTTTCTTCAACAACTTCATTATGTTCTGGGGTACGAGGACATGAACGTTGATAAATAATGGCATTTGTACGAAGATATGCTTGAAATTCATTGAATAGATACTCCCCCCCTCAGAATCAGACTTAAAAAATTTAATGTTTTTCTCAAATTGAATTTTTATCATATTATGGAAGTTTTTAAAAACGCTAAATACACTTGACTTGTGTTTGAGAAAATAAATCAAAGTATGTTTAGAAAAATAATCTATAAATATCACAAAATAAGAAAATCCATTAATTAAAGGAATAGAAGCAGGACCCCAAACATCAGAGTGCACTAAAGAGAAATGATGGATACTTTTATTATTGCTATGAAGAAAAGGTTAAGCTAAGTGTTTTGTCAACTTGCAACTCTCACAAACAATATTCTTATTAAATTTTCTATGAGAGAAGACAACAGGTAAAAATTCAAAGTTTAAAAGAGAATGCATTTTTTAAGAATGTAGGTGTCTAACCTACAATGCCAAAAATACCAAAGAGAATATGATTGATTATTTCATGAGGAGAAGGGGCAAGATGACAAACTGGCAAAGCTTGTGAAAGATGGGAATGAGATTCACTGAAACTAACTATGAAAAGCCGATCCTGCTTAGTTCCTTTCTCAATCACTTTCCCTATTATTAGATCTTGCACCACACAACCTTTATTAGAAAAAGAAACAATGCACTTGTTATCAATTAACTGCCCAACATATATTAAATTCAAAGGAAGGTTGGGAATATGATGAACATCTTTCAATGCTAAGAAGTTACCAAATGCACTAGGGACACTTGTATTATCAGAGTGGGTAACATGAAGTGAAGACCTATTAGCAGTAAAATAAGTCATATTTTCAGAATGAGGTTTTATCGAGGATAAATGCGAAAGTTGTCATGTGAAATGATTTGATGCTCGTGAGTCTATGATCCAAGTATTTGATAAATGATTTGAGTTACTTGAAAAACCCATGGTAGCTAAAACCTAAGCAAGTTGTTGGAGTGTAGTTGAGTCAATATAGTGAAGATCTAGCATGGATTCAGGGGTAACAGATGCGAAGGCAGAATGAGAGTGACTGGAAGTGGCATCGTCTTTACTGGTGGGACTATGAATAGAGGTGATTGCACCCTATTGAGTATGACTACGTACAGAAGGCTTCCCACGTATCTGAGGGTGTTTTCGACATTATTTATTACATACTTGAGTTCTTACAATAATTGCAAAAAATACGCTTTTTGCACTGATCGGCTATATGGTTTCTTTGTTTGCATATGTAACACTTCACTTGAACATGGTATCTTTGTTAGGGAAATTGGACGTGGCTAAGGTCACATCAGTGATATCTTGGGATGTGGATTTTTAAACCCCAAGAGAGCTTAAGCGATTTTCTTCAGCAATGAGATCTGAAAGGCAATCATCTATTGGTAGAGTGGGAGTATGATGAAGGATTGATGCTCTCATGCTTTCAAACTCCGATTGCAACCCCATAAGGAAGTGAAATAAGTGAGACCGATTTCGCGTTTTAGTAACAGCTTCAGTGGGTGCCTCTATCTCCATCGATTCCATCTCATTCTATATAACTTAAAGAGTATTAAAATAATCTTGAATTGATGAGTTCCCTTGTTGTGTCTTCATACTCTCCTGTTTAAGGGTATACAGACGGGCAATGTTTGCCTGAGAATAAATCTTTTGTAAATAATCCCACAGTGCTTTGGCACTAGATTGATACGCGAATAATCTTTTGTAAATAATTCCACAGTGCTTTGGCACTAGATTGATACGTGAGGTTGTGCCCAATTTTATGCTCAACTGAGTTCATAATCAGTAGCACAATAGAGATATCTATGGCAAGCCAATCACTACTCCCATTCTCATCCTTAGGTTGGAGAACATAAGGATTAATATAGCCCCATAACTTCCGACCCATGAGAAAACGTCTCATTTGGAAAGACCACAAGCAATAGTTTTTCCCAGTGTTTAAAAAAACGCCTAGTTGAACCGGACTCGCCTGGTTCAACTCGAAAATCGCCATAGACGGATCGAATCGGCGAAAAAAACGGGAATCGTCCGGTTCTAGAGAGAACCGGACGATTCTGTACAGTGACTCGCCGATTCACTGTACGGAATCGGAGAGTCCGTACAGTGAATCGGCGAGTCCCGTACGGAATTTTTTTTTTTTTTTTATTTTTTATTTTTTTATGTAATCCATGATAGATTTTTTTGTAATACTTGATTGATTTTTTTGTAATCAATGATCGAATTTTTTGTTTTTTTTTTTGTTTTGTAACCCATGATAGAATTTTTTGTAATCCATGATTGAATTTTTGTAATCCATGATCGAAATGTTTGTTTTTTTTCTTGCAATCCATGAT